ATATTTGGGGATGAGTGTGTTGTACATCCTTAAAAATAATGTTTAGTATAAGTTAGTTTTTCCCGCTTCAGACAAATTTGTAGATTGCTGATTGGATAAAGGCTGATCACATGACGCCCTGAAATTTTCCGTATTACATCTCCGTCGAGGAGTAATATGAAATTCGGGCATGCAATTCCCTTCGCAGCGTTATTATTGTAATATAAATGGCGGTTAAGAAACGGTTTACATAAGTAGTCTAGTTAAATTTCTTGTTACCATAACGATATTTTATGTTGATTGTTATTGGATTAAAAAATATTTTTATAATATGCACAAACATTGTTTTTATATTGAAAAAGGTCTTCAGTGGGATAAATTCGTAACACAGTCATTTAGTGACCTAATACGGATTCATACAGGGTGTGAAATGGAAATTCGAACTGAGAATAGGCTTCGCCTCGTCCATTACGGATTTCCATTTAACATCCTGTATGAATCCGTATTAGGTACTAACTGACTGTGTAACTAATATAATCCCGCTTCAAACAAATTTGTAGATTGCTGATTGGATAAAGTCTGATCACAGTACGCCCTAAAATTTTCCGTATTATGTCGCCGTCAAGGGGTAATATGAAAATCGCGCGCGCGATTACGTTCGAAGCGTCGCTTTTGTAAATAATAAAGGCGGCCAAGAAACGGTTTGTAGAAATCTTAAAAGAACCAAAGAAAAGCCTCTACAATGTCTTTAGTAAAATTACACTAGATCTGTAATAGTTTCAACCAGACGCTCGGCTGTCTCCGTAAACACTGACGAGCTCCGTTACGTCATGTGAAGTCAGAGTCTAGATGCTCGTGCGACTTGATGTTTGATGTGGCGGATCAACGTTTTGAGTGTATTTTTGATGGTACAACTGCGCTCGCCCCAACAGTCACACCGTAAAACATATTAGGTAGAAAAAAATATGATTTATTTTAATTGGATAATTTGTGGGATAATTTTCTACCCATCCATCAACCTTAACGTAGAACCTACATCTTACGCATTGGCGTCGGAAGCAAAGTGAAAGGGGGGGGGGGGCAAAGAGAAAATTCTGACTTTGCACAATGATCCAAACGATTTTTTTCCGCAGTTACTTCTGGACCCACAATGCATCGCATGTTTAAATTATGTTCTCGCATGAATAACAAAAAAAGTTCAACAGATAATAATCTTGCCTTGATTTAATGAATATATTGCTGAAAAATAGTCAATAAAATGGATCTTCATTAAAATCATATTCATGCTTAGGTTTGGTAATGTTACTTACATACAACGGCATGTGACATGCGGTTTGACGAGCCCGATCTAAATTAATACTGAATACGAGTATCTACGCTCGCTCTAACGGTCGCGCCATCAACATATTAGTAAGGCGGCGCGAAGCGCTGCTTACGTAACGAGCTCCATAGACAACGTGTACGAACGGAGGAAATTAGGGCTGAAATCTGCAAATTTACTAATTGTTCTAAGTAATTTTTATGAGCCCACGTGAAAATTCCAAACTCCCTATAATACTTAGCGGTGCATAGAAACATAACTAAAGCATAGCAACAACTTACTTGAAAACAGTAACAAACAACGATTTAATGCATTTTCCATGCCACAAAACTATCGTTCGCGTCCTCAGTAAATATGACTTTGTACGTGACGTCTTAATTTCGTCACTTCAACGACTTGGGTATCTTCGATCATGTCAGAAAAATCCGCGAAATTAGGAATCTCGATCCCGATGCACTGGGAGGCGGCAACAACTGAAATGTCCGATACACAGTAAACACACGCTTAATGAGTTTCCTGAACGATTTCACCGTCGGACATATTAGTTAAGTTAACGAATCCAACTCATGTAATGAAAATGCAGGAACACAAATATGTTTAACGTTCATGAAATGCTACTAGAAGTATTTTGAAGGATATTTAGGATTTTGTGCATAAACAAACATATAAACAGAAAAAACAGATCGACAGACAGACGAGAGGCAAAAAAACTATGTACCCCGAATCTTCGAGTACGTGGCATTAAAATTACTATCAACATCAATAAGACTTTCTTCAAGTTTCTACATACACTGAAACTGTAAGTTCAAATATAAATAATCTAGAAACATGTCGATTTTGTTTGCTATAGTCCTATTCAGGTGCACATTAAAGTTTTATTCATAAGTACAGAATTCCAATTATGGAATAGTACATGTGGTAATTTATTATGCAAGTCTAATTGCAAATATGTATTCTAAAAAAGAGAGACACAAATCATTGCAGACAAAACGTATTTACATTGACGTATCAAAATCAAATCATAAAGCCTATTTTGCCTTCAAGTTTTATTCTTAGGCTAGGTACTTTATTCTCTTGATTATTCCCGTTATACACTCCCCCACCAATAACTCCCCCTCCCTAATGACACACACGGCACGCGGATTCTTTATCCCCTGATCAGGAATGATGTACCTCAGGAATCGACCGTCCCTGTCCAGCATGTGAATCTTGTGCTGAAGGAAGTCCGTGATGATGATGTGATGCATGCTGTCTGTTGTCAGGGAGCTATATATCTAATTTCTTCCTTGGTTGCTTTGTTCCCTGTGTAGGAGAACCTGAATATTCCGAGATTGTCAACAACTGTGACGGCATTTTTATCCCAGTCAGCTACACAAATGTCGCCGTTACCATTCTCCACAGCGTAAACTGCTTTTTTAAACAGAGGCTGGTACTGGTAGTCGTACTGGAGTTCTTGCAGCACGTCACCAGAACTGCTGTATCTTACAATTTTTGAGTCCGTTTTGTCTGTAGAGACAGACAAGGAGGTCCCTGCCCCGGTGCAGGCAACACCATAAGAATTCCACTCTCCGATAAAGCACGTATGATCTATACCGTCTTTTAAACTATTGACAGACTTTTTAGTATAATCGATGTACACGACGTTTTCATTTAGATGAGTCAAGTGTAATCCTATACCGTTTTTGATGTCTTGAATTAATTAATTTTTTTTGCTTTCAAAATGGTTAACTTTATAAAATCAAAGCTTTTAAGATGTCTAAACACAGGACTATTATGCAATGTAAATATTTAAAAATATATATAATTTTGTACATATATTCCTAAAATTGCCTTTTGTTGATGTAAAAAAAATTAATACAAAGGCAGGTGGCCAACTATTAACACACAATACCCTATCTGCATTCTTTTCCTACAAATATCAAACGACGCAGTTCAATATCTCTTGACAGTACTGGTATCTAACGAATATTTGCATATTATACTGGAAAAGAACGTATTCTATGTCACATGACATTTGCACAGTGGGTCAGGGGAGGAGCGACTTGATGTAGAGTTCACATCTTATTTAATGTTGTTAAAAATTTATTTACTTAAATATATATTATACTTATCTGTAGATCTTGATATAATGCAATAATTGAATAGTGAATGCAGTTTTGGAAACTAATGTATAAATTGTAAGCTTGTTGATATATACTGAAATAATTACTGTTGTTGGTTATAATTATACCCGGTAGTTGTTTCTGATAGATACTAGTAACTATTGTCGTCTCAATGTTGAATTTAATGAATAATGTTGCTGAGCTCTCTATGATGAGATATCTGAGTCACTGCGCTCATTGTTCTCAAGCTGAAAACGTGCAAAAATAGAGCAGAGGGCTATTGAAACCGGTTACAGTCGCCTATGTGGTGCAGTGGTTAGAGCGTCTGCTCTAGAGTACGAAGTAAGGGGCTAATCCTTACGTCGGAGGTCCGAATCCCACTATGGGACGTGGAGACCGGTCCTTCGGATGAGACCGTTTAAACCGAGGTCCCGTGTCGCAGTAGGTGTTGGCACGAAAAAGATCCCTCACTGCTGATTCGTTTTCAAATGTCATAAAGCCAGATTCACCTTTTGTACTACATGTACTTTCAAAACCTACAATATGCGCACATTCCATCTTAAAGACGAGTCATTTCTGTTTACAAAAGCGTTTTTTCTGACTGGTTTAAGTCCCTGATCGAGAACACATGAAAAAATAGTTTGCTAGCCCAACTTTCAAATATCGACTTAATTCAAGAGCTTGGATAGAGAAATATTATCACAAAAACTTGATATTGTGATAAAAAAGAGACTTTTCTATTATCCTCAAATAACCTAGAACTCATTAAAATTGTCATTTTTTACTGTCTGAAATGACTACCTTACATATTATCATGTATTTTAATGAAATGAAATGAAATGCAAATGAATATAAATCCACACCACCATTAAAACGAACTGCATTACAGACATATAGCCACCTAAATTATTTTTAGCCGGGCTTTGCTGAAAGCAAAGTCCTGGCTTTAGGCATCATGATCGACTGTTTTACTATAAACAGCACAGTAAACAAAAACCAAACAGCGTCAAAGCAGATGCTTCCGATAAACAAAATAATTCCATTGCGATACGATATTCAGTAAAATATTTTTAACATCCCAATCGTTGGAAAAGTCAATGATCAATATTTTTGCTTGAGAATTAAACTGTAAGAAAAATTAGATATTTGCTTTATTGGGATAATCGCGATATAACAATTTGTGCACATACGCTGCTAAATGCATACTGTAAGCGAACTATTTTCAATGGCGAGGGCTTTTCGAAAAGTTGAAATTGATGAAGAGTATCATGTTTCATATCGTTTTCGTCGATGTTATGATAGTGGTTATATTCTGATTTGTTTTTTAGCAAATGAATAGTATTTATTTATTAAATTCTAAAATCATACCATGTCTTGGGGTCTGGACTGTTAATTTTAATTACTGGTATATGAGATATTGTTTTACATCATAATCATAAAAACTCTACCTGTTTTAAAAAAATCAATGGCCAAAAGGAAAAACATAAATGTGTACTAATTTTGGATGAGACAATATACTCGAGCAATTAAAGCCCGGCTTTCAGTTCTTTCAATACTTTGATTATATATGTTTTTTTTCTTACTTGTAGTCTACTAAGATGGATTGCGAAGTTTGTGACAGTCCGGCTGAGTTCACATGCAAGAATTGTTCAGTTAAGCTTTGCACATTATGTGTAGGACTACACATGCTTTCCGAATCAGAAAATGGTCACGATGTAGTGAAATTTTCCGAACAAAATGAATCCGAGGAAAATAAATGCCAGGACCACCCCCAGCAAGAGAGCAGCGCATTTTGCAAGACTTGCCACATATCTATCTGTGTCTTATGTCTATCGGAGAAGCAAAATGCGCATGAAATTGGCGAGTTATCGGAGAAAGTTGACACATTATCCGACATTATCGCCAAAGAAAATGAACAGCTTCAGTCCTTACAATCTGATATGGAAAAAATTCTGGTCCATATCAACAGAAGATCTGCAGAACTTCCACTTGCCTACAAACAGACAAAAAATAATGTTACCTCCCATATCAGGGAAAGGCATCAGGTGATTGATAGAGCAGAAACGGCATTGCACAAAGATCTAGACAAAATGGAAGAAAAGCATCAGGGAAAACTACTGAAGCAAAAGAGAGAATTTGAAGAAATATTGAAGAAATTAAAAAGCTTAGATCAAGAATCTTTAGCTTGGCAAAATCCAAAGACGTTTCGAAATTAATGAAATTTAAGCTTGAACTTGAAAATTTACAAGTGCCAACTTTCATAGAAGAAACAAAACCAGCATTCTTTCAACCTTCCGAGACCAATGAAAGTCAAATATCATCGTATTTCGGTTACATATAGAGACACTGCAATCGTTCAAAAGACCCACAGACAACCTTACACAAGAAGCTGAAGATGAAATCTCCTTATTTCCGAAAGCTCTATATGTACCTTCAGTTCTTACCACCCTTGATGCACAGTTTCCAACTTCTAAAGAAAACAACAACAGGTTGTATTCCATTGTTCCCCTCGGTGACGGCAGGGTGTGGGTAGGTGGACACAGTGATATCCTGAAGCTTTTTTATCAGGAACGTCTTATAGCCACTGTCAATAAAAAGAGTATTGGTTTGTTCCTGACTCTGCATGAGGGACATATAGTTTATCCCGATACTGACAAAACCCTGAAGAAGGTTATAAACGGTAAAGTAAACACGTTGTTCAGTACCGGGGAGTGGTTTCCTCTCGGTATCACCTGTACCGCGGCACGTGACTTCCTTGTCTGTCTCCGATCAACAGATGATTCACAGTCAAAGGTCGTAAGATATAGCAGTTCTGGTGACGTCCTGCAGGAAATCCAGTACGACTCCCTGCACCAACCTCTGTTTAAGTGGGCAATTTACGTGGTGGAGGATTGTAACGGCGACATTTGTGTAGTTGATTGGAATAAAAATGCCGTCACAGTCGTTGACAAGTTCGGAATATTCAGGTACTCTTACACAGGGAACAAAGCATCCAAATTCAAACCTTGCTCTCTTACCAAAGACAGCATGCATCGTATCATCACCACTGACTTTCTTTACCACAAGATTCACATGCTGGACAGGGACGGTCGATTCCTGAGGTACATCATTCCTGATCAGGGGATACAGAGACCAAGGGCCGTGTGTGTCATTAGGGAGGGGGAGTTAATGGTGGGGGAGTGTATAACGGGAATGATTAAGAGAATAAAGTACCTAGCCTAAGAATGAAAATTAAAGGCAAAATAGGTTTTATGATTCGATTTTGATATGCCAATACCGTGAATTAATTTTGTTTGTAATGATTTAATAATACATATTTGTATATAGGCTTACATAATAAATACCACATGGACTACTGTAAACCAGCTTTTATTCGCGGCGACTTCATTTCGCGGGGATAAACTACTTCCCGGCGATTACTTTTCGCTATCAAGCCTTTTTGGATCTGTTGTTTTAAAATAGAAAGAGATATTAAGAACCAATTCGCGACGAGAAATATTCGCGATGATGATGCTCTAGCTCGCGAACCTCGCGAAAATTTCTCGCATTCGAATAAAAGCTGGTTTACAGTATTAAGTATTAAGAAATCTTTACTTATGAAAAGAAATAAAATTTGCACTTGCATTGGATTAGGAAACAAAATTTACCTGATTCTAGATAAATGATGTTTCATAGATGTAGATCAGTAAGTCTAATTGTATGTATGTTCAATGTGATTTATAGATTCTGAAATGCATATATCGACCTGATGTTTCTAAAAATGAAAAAAATCTTCCATAAAACATCAATAGTAATGACATCACAATAGCTAATATGACTTGATGGTTCTAAAAAAGTATAATTTACTTCTCTTGTAATAACTGGTAAGATGTAAAAATATCTTGCATAAGGATCTACTTTAAGGCCCTTTCACAATTGGCGCACGAGCAGAAGCGACAAAATATTCGTGCGCCCGAATAATTCTGATTAGGATTGTAAACTGTTGCCGAAATAATCGCATATGAAAATGTATTCGTACGACTGTTGTGTATTGAATATTGCAATATACTTGCGTTATTCGCGACTGTTGTACAATGAAAACGAGTGTCTTAAGATAATGCGATAAGATCGCGTGAGTAATCAGGTAATCAGACGATTGAACGTGCGCCAATGCAATTGGACATGCGGTGCTCGTGCGCTTATGCATTCCATAGTACATATACGAATGTTCTTGCGAGTCAGAGGGCTGGGTAATTATACCGCCCGTTTCCGAGGTCTTCAGTTGGCATAGACTAAGTGTATGCGAGAGAAGACGCTTATAAATTATACAGGGTATATATCACCCATTCTCAATATAAGGGCTCAAATAATGTCGCCTCATTTTCATTTAGAAGAAATACCACTGATGTAATTTTTAAATCAACATTATAAATAGTCATAAAACAATGAATAAGAATTCATATAATTATCGATTTGAAAGGGTATTTAAGGAGTTCCAAATTCAAATATAGTGCCTATTTGAAATGTACGTTACTGTCGCCGAGGCAAATATGATGCTGAATTCCCTCTGTGTAATGTATAGTTTTGATTCTCAAGGAAAAATTTTCTGATAAGTTAAACCTTGTATCATATATATTTCTTTTCATAACAATAAATACATTTTCTTTGTGATAATAAATAATTTTTATTGTGCAATGTCCCTGTCGCTTAATTCTATTTAAACCACATTAAAAGCAAAAAAAAAGATTATACACCGGATAGTTTTGTTCTCCTTTATTTATTGATGGGCAAAAATTTGAAATTTCAAAGTATTAATTACTCCTACTTAGATAATGTAACATGAAATTTAAAAATTTTAGAAACTTTTATAAATTTGTTTACGGAATTAAAGAAATTTTAAATCGTAGAGATAAGAAAGAAATGTACGTTACCTATATTCTTCCATTAAGAATATATATTAAGTAGAAAATATGAGACGACTCTGAATAAGCAACCCCTTGTATCCTGTAAACTGGCAAAGACGTTTTGCTTAACACAATTAAAAATTATTTTTTACATGAAAAGTGATCATTTGAAATGTACGTTACTGAAATGTACGTTACCATGAAATTCGAATTAAGTGAATCTCGCACGAATTTTCACGTATTCTCATACTTTCACACACTCGAATGTGTACACAAAGGAAAGTTTCAAAGGTTGGAGGTCGGCTAAATCCCAAAATTAATGAAAAGAAACGTTTCTGCTGAGGAAAAAAATATATTAAGGTCAATTATATGTAACATAATTTTGATACCTGGTATATATTTCTGAATACGAAACCTGTATGATGCATTTCTTATGATAAGCAAGTTCAAATAGTATCAATAAATTGCGTGTCTAACGTACGCTTGTGGAAGAGAATTGATTCTTTTATTTGAAATGTACGTTATGTATGTAACGTACATTTTGCGTATTTCTAACTGACATTTTTTTTATTGTAGTCAATGAATTGCGTTTACACGAGCGCAACAAAATTATCGTTACAACCCATTTGACAACTGACCACATAAATCCATCTAAATGCACCCCCAATCCTCGTAAATGTGGTAGACTGTTACCACATGCTAGAAAATTTATTTCTAAGCGTCTTAAATTCATCTTTGGCAACCTTTTTGCAGTTTGTTTACTTTTACTTTTCGTCAATATTAATTTAATTGTTGTTGATAATTTTAAAAAAAGGTATGCATAGGCTTATAATTGGTTAAAAAAACAAACAAACAAAACAAAACAAAACAAAAAAGAAAAAGAAAAAAAACAAATAAACCCAGAACACAAGACGGTCACGTACATTTCAAATACTGAAAGGCACACAATACTCAGTTTTGTTTGAATCATTGCATTTTGGGTTATATTTTTCCAGATCTGCTGAAAAGCAGGTATGTTTGTGTTTTGACAAACGATGTTGCAACATACTAAATGAAATTGTTAACAAGACTGTCGATGGATATATTCGGGAATAATTTATGTTAAGTTTCAATGGCCAAACACGAGCATTTGTTAGATCATATAGCAAAATACGTCTGACTCTTATTTTTTTTTGTCTGTACCCTTGCACACACTGACAGGTAGAAGTAACTAGGCTACGACCGGTGTCAATTTCAGCGAAACAGCACAAAAGAACGGTTGAACTGAGGTGGAGGGGACTCCCCAATAATATGTGAAATGAACGTTACCGAAGTGACGTGACATTCATGTAGTTGATGACAAATAACCTCGTTTGTTCCATTATGATTTCTTATATTACTGCCTTAAAGATGTTTATACTAATATTCGTGCTTTGAATTGCGATAATTTGGATCGCATTTGGTCGTGTCTGAATAGAGCTCGTGCGAAGCTAAAATTTTCCGATTGCAAAGTGTTGTAAAGTGCTCGTGCGCCTATTGTGAAAGGGCCTTTATAATATTACATATAAGATGTTTTTCATAAATTAATAAAATGTAATACATGACTAGGAATGTTGCCTTTTAGATAGTCCTTTTACTAATCACGTCATCAGTATAAAGGAAACGCAACATTAATCAATAATTTGATGTCTGAAAGGACAAGAGAGAAAACCTGTGGCTTCTTTCTATTAATATTTTCAAATTTTGCTTTGTCCATCTCTTTAAAAAAAAATTAACAAGCTAATTCAGTGAATTTTGTCCACCGCTTAGAGAAAAGGTAAACCATGCGCAGTTCGGGGGGGGGGGGGAGTCGGATCCCCCTGACTGAATTTGTAGAATTATTAAATGTATACATGTATACTGAAACAAGTAAAAATATGCCAATATTATGGATATAAAGATTTGATTGCTTATTCTTTATTATGTGTAAAGAAGATTCTTTTTATATGGAATAATTACAGTGTAATGATGATTTTATGAGTTTGTACAAGCCAGGCCTCATAAATTTTTCATTTCACATGCTGAATACTATCATTTAGTAAAAAAAAAGTATTTTGAAAAAAAAATGAAGCGTCCGGATTCAACGGGTCCTTTTCACATGTTAAGCGAGAGACATATCACTACACCAGGGGACCTCTTTAAACTGGCAAAAATTATATGCAAAGATGAAGTCACATACATGTATATTTTCACGTTCAATATCATCAAAATTTTTACACAATGCATGGTGTCTAATTTAACCTTTATTAAACAGTGTTGCCGGATGATTAGGCGTCTAACTCCATTCTACCAGAATATGCAATAAAACAAAAGTCAAAAGGTTTCGAATGTATATTCCGTTATAAAAGTGACAACAATTCACTGGACTGTAGTGTTCCTTGTTCCACACACCCCCCTCTGGGGTAAAACCTCCATAAAGAAACAATACACAATATTAAGTTGCAAGTTATTACACGAATTATTACACAAATGGTTAAATACATGACACATAGCATAGATCTTTTAGCATATAGCTTTTATATACATGTATAGCTTCTAGCATTTAGCTTTTAGCATACAGCAGTACTTTTTTTACACACACCTGCACTTAATTACTCGTTACACTTATTTATGCAACACTACAAAAACAAGTAGAGCTATACTCATTTATACACTAGATAATTTTATGAAACGTTACACAAACGGAACACCATCTAAAAACCAGCGAACGTTTACTACAAACACAACTATTTATGAAACGAAAACTATACAGACACGATTAACATAATAAAAATTTAACATTCACAAAATATTAAACACAATTAAAAGCACCTTTTTAACAAAGTTATCCAAGACCTTGAAATTTACAAAAACTGAATAAAACTTAAAAGAATAAATAAAACTGTTACCCAGAAGCTGAGTGTTTGTATCAAATGTAGTTGTACTTATAAACTATTGTAGAAATGAACTCAAATTTAACTGGCTATGGATGAAATTCACATAATTATGCGTGCATGTTTTAGCGTAGCACGGCAGGAAAAGAGAGTGATTTCTAAACCCTCCCCTTAAATAGCCTTGCAGAACTGAGGCTCCATAAAGGATAAAATAAAAGAGGTCCCCCACAGGATAAAAAATAATACAAAAGTATATAGATAAAAACATACGTACAGAGTAAATCTGAAAAAAGTTCTAATAGATGTAATAAAAATTAAAAGTCCGCCGGGAACCTGTTTTTACGTAATCTCCCTCATGCCCCTGTGCTAAAAAAATTTCGACATGTAATACAAATAAATACTAATAAAACAAACGGGGCGGGGGCACTTTAGAGGGGGGGGGGGGTTA